TGAGCCAACCGGCCATCCCTATATAGGATCCGAACCCGCGGCCTTGGTGCTATCAGCACCGTACTCTACTGAGTGAGCCACAGGCCGGCCCCTATATTTTCTCTATATATTTTTACCTATGTTATCTATTATTCTCATTATATAGTAAAATGTTATAACTCTGACTCCACTGAATTGTAGGCTCATTTAAAGTGGGAGTGGAATGAAATTGCCCCTTGCCCCTTGATGAATTCCAAAGCATCAACAAGGTATCAGAGGAAACCTTTGCATTTCTTCCATAACTTCTACTGTAGAGCATTTCATTAGCTGCATTCAGAGTTACAAAGTATTCTAAAAAGTTGTAAATGTGTCCTTCTTGAGAGACAAATCTCATGTTTTACCCTTAGTGATACTGGGGCATATTCTTCTTTTTTTTAAAAAATAATTTAAATTTATTATTATTTTTTGGCAGCTGCCCAGTACGTGGATCTGATCCCTTGACTTCGGGGTAACAAGGTAGCGCTCTAACAAACTGAGCATATTCTTTGCATATTTGTTTCTCAGAGGGTTTTATGAAACATGCTCATCAGAGAGATGTGGTGAGCTGGAGGGGCAGACAGGGCTGGCTGCAAAGCTTAACAGAGGATGCTCTTGGTGACAGAGGAAGTAGGTGCGGGTGAGGGGAGTGTTCAGGTGTCAAAATGAAGACAGCATTGAAGTGGAATTAGGCTGGAGGAACACGGAATTGCAGAGGGACAAAGAGGTCGCATTCCTCACCCACTTCTGCATGGTCACTATTTTTTCTTATTTGAGTCTAAGTTCTTCCTCGGTCCTTTGAGGAACATTCTGTGCCCCTCACCATGTGATCTCACCAAGGAATGCTTGCATTTCTGCCGTTCCCTGCTGCCTGGGGTCCTGTGGCAGCCCATATGGTGCGTAAACGTCAACTATGAACATGCTGACAAATTACTTTCTGCTCATTAAATGTCATCTGGTCTACCTTAGAGGAATCAAACCTGCGGGCATCTCTTCCACCCCTCTTCCCCTGTTTAAATGGAACAATAATTTAAATCAGTGGGTCAGAAGTGCAGTGATGTGAGAAATAGTCATTGTAGAGAATAACAGGCTATTCTGGAAAAGTTGGATTAAAATCATATGGCTGAGTAATAATAAGGTTCACCGATTGTTCTTAATATGTTTCAGCTTGTTGGGCTTCCCTCTGCCTCCTGTCCTCCTCACCCCTTTTACCACCGTCCCACCTACTGCGGTGCCACCTTTCCAGCTCCTGGAACCAGAAGGAGGGGAGAGGCAGCGTGGCTGCAGGAGGAGGTGACCCACCAAAGCCGAGAGGACCCCAATCTAGACCTGCCACTAGCTTGTGGAGCAACGTGCGGGGAAGCCAGTGCCTCTCTGAGCTTTAGTTTTCTCTTCGGAGATTAACATTGGCCTGTGTCTCTGACAATCTTTGTTGAAAAGAGGAAGAGGAGAAATGGGCGTGAGAGCTTGTATGTCACAGGACGCCTCGCTTCTTACGATGACCGGGAGGGGTTATGTGGCCTGTGCATTATCCCGGGTCTTCCTTCCCTTTTCGTCTCCCTTCTTAGCTTTTCTTCCAGGAAAGGCAACAATGTATGCTGGAAGGGAGACTAGAATGGCAAGGGGAGGTGACATTGAAACAGACCATCTTTGATTTTGTAGATTTTTATTAGAGAAGGTTGACGGTGATGGTCACCTGGGCTTCATTTCACCTGGTAGTCTGTATCTCTCCTTACCCAGGGCATGGCTAAGAGCTACGGCAGCACCTGGCTTCACTCTGGAGCATCTGACTCCGGTTAAGGACGAGGTCTCCATGCAGGCATTTGGAAGTGGCTTTCTTGGGGTCGGGTATATTATTAAGGTCTGTCCATAAACAGTGAGGTCTGAATCTTGGTAACCCATGGCAAGATTCCTAGACACCAATGTTGGGCTGGATGACTTCCAGGATTAAGAAAGAGAAGGCCTCCTTTCGAGGCAAGAAAACAGCTGGGCTCTTATTGCTAAATCCAAGAATTGCTCATTAATAGCCTGACAGGACAGAGTTGCTTCAGGCTGTGGGGCCTCTTTGCTTTAATCACTGGATTTAGGATTATGTCAGTAATGCTTAAACTGCAGAAAGTGCCATGAAAAAGAAGTGCCATGAAAAAGAAGGCCAGACTTACATGTAATACCCCGTAGTGCATGATGTGCAGGTTCCTGGATCATCTGGAAAACAATTATAATAATGAAAAATAATAATCAACCAAGAGTGTGTCATTTGGGAAAACTGGACTTTGGAAAAGTTGTGGCTTGAGACAGATACTCCCTGTGGGATAGTTTTATGACATGCACTGTCCAGAAATGATATTTGAACAGAATGCATCGTTTTTAATTAGTAACAAGATGTATAGTATGATTTATCTTTATCAAAGGTAGTAAAATAAGAGCTCCCATAAATACTTGGACTTGACCTTCAAGGAGGAACAGACCTGAGCTACTGGGTCTTCAAATTACAGATTAACAACCGTCCATGTTAAGAACCTCCTGGCCTCTGTTGAGGTAGAGGCATCAAGCATGTCCACACACAAACATTTGGAAGGGGCCACAAGCTGCTGACCCTGTGTGGCACGTTTTCCATGAGTTACTCCAAATGCCTGCCAAGAGGAAGTCACGCCGTTGGGAGGCTCCTTTGAAATCTGAACCATTATTTTTCCCAATATAGGCATCTACTTTGTGTTCTGCACTTCACAACCCTTTAAAGAAACTGTGCTGTTCTTGTTAAGTGTGATGACTTAGTGTGTCCCTGTTCTTCAGAGAAGGACTCTCTCTTGCAGCTTTCAGGGAACAGAGAGAAAAAGGACTTTGAGAGTCATCATGTCAGTCTATTTCCCTCCCTCTTAACACTCTCCAGAAGATGCGACTCTCAGATCTGATTATTAAGGGAATTCTATGACTTCCTCTGGCCTGTGATTCCTGCAAGTAACAGAGTTACCTCTAGCAGGTTCTTTCTGTGATCTAACCTACACTCCAGTCACACTCTTTTCATTTTAATAGGAGATGAAAAACAACTGCTCCGCCTTAAAACGTCCCTCTTGGTACATGAAGATTTAATGTCATCTTTGACTTTATTCAAACTAAAAAAAAATGTCCTTTGAGTTTTGTGCATAACTTTCCTTTCTAATCTATTCTGAACTCTATTCTGGCTTTCTCAAAGACTGCCTCATGGGAGGTAGAGACAGCCTGCCCCAAATCCATAGTCACACACTTATCTTGGGTCCTCCTAGGAATGCTGCAAGATGACGCTACCGTATATTACACGTAATACAACTAATTCATTGCACCAAAAGTTACAGTGGGGAAATTTCTAGATGAGGCTCTGCCAATTAAGCAGGGATACTCAGAACCTTCTGGAAATAGCCTGGTGATGATGTAGTGAATGGGCACTGGCCTGGGAACTGGGCTACCTGTTTCTAGTTTGAAGTTTTAACCCAGGCTTAACTGTCTTGTAAACTTGCATAAATGTCATGCTACTTTCTGAACCCTGGTTTCTGCTTGTGTAAAATGAGCTGGTTGGACAAGATGGTTGTTAAGACTTCCCCAGTCAAAGATTCTGAAACGAGTCTTGCAGGAGTTGGCCCACCCCAGCTGTGCCCGTTCATTTACATATCGTGTATGAAGGCTTTTGTGCTACAGCATCAGAGTTGAATAGTTGCAACAGAGATTGAAAATATTTACGGTCCGCCCCTTCACAGAAAGTCTCCCTACCCCTGGCTATACAGCTATCAGCTCGTGACTTTGGCATGCTCACCTTTGTTGGGTGACACAGGTGTAAATGCATTTGTCTTAACAGTCCCAGAGTTCTTCTTGGGGAGGGAAATGTCTATATTTAGGAAAATACCTTGTTAAGCTACTTGGGGTAGAAGTTTAATTGGAAGGGTTGAACAGGAGCCAAGACAACCAAGGAGATAGAAAGGCTCTTCTGCAGGAGGCCAGGATTTGCTCGTGAAGGGAAATGGTTTTTAATGTCTGGGTCAACATGGTTTCTGAGAAGGCGACTAAAACAGGACAGTGAAATGAACCAAAAACCAGGTTAATTAAGGGGAAAGAGGATTCTGAAGCTGGAAATGCCCATGAGAAAGAAAATCTCCCTGGCATTCTTAGAAATCTTGGGGAGGGCTTTATGCTTCCACAGTCCATGGATTGGGGATCTGAATCCATTTTAAGGGGGTGCAGAGGTGCCAGTGAACACAAGTGGTTCCATTGGTCTAGTTCATTTCCCACTATGAGTCTATTTTTAAATCTATATTCTTTTCAGTTCTTCTGCTAAATAACTCCCTATGACTTGGCTTGCATTTGGGTAGCTTACTTTTTTCTGCCTGTCCCCGATGAACATATTTGACTCTGACAGTTTTGCTAATTTGGCAAGGGCTAGGGAAATTCTAATCCTGTTCTCTAATGTTCTGGTCATCCCTCCCATCTAGGAACTTAATGAGCTTGCTCTCTGCTCCTTTAAGCAGGTCACTGATGAAAATGTTAAACAGAACCAAAGCTCAGAAATGTGCATACCAATGTTATCTTGAGTTCAGGGACTTTTCCAGCCCAGTTGCACAGTGGATTTGGTACCTTTACAACAGTTTGCATAAATGAATAATGCATGGAACAGGAACTGTGTCTTATAACAGCTTATGAATGCCCATTAGTTTTTTTCTCATTATTACCAGTTGTTCTAAAGCATGAGAATTATTTTAAAAAATTTTTCCACCCCAGAAGATCCAGAAGTCAGACATAAACTAAGTGGATTTAGCTTGACCACTGAGAGGCAGCTGTTATGGGATTAAGGACGAGGGGAACAATCCCAAACCGAGGAGCTGACTGTAAGTCAAGTTGGCATTTAGATGGTAAGGAGGGGTAGCTTAAGGAGAAAGATGGATTTTCCTGGCTTCTAGTGTGTGTGTATGTGACGGGGTGTGGGGACAGGGGAGTCTAAACAAGCTTGAATTGTTAACTGTCTAGGAAGGTGTTATCCAAAGTAGGATGTTTAAATAGCTCTGGTTATTTGATCTTGTCAAACGTTTGAGCTGAGAGAGCATATTTTGAGGAGAGATGGGGCAAGTTCAGTCAGAATTCAAAGACGGCCTCACACATTTGGAAAAACCCTTCAGAAACAGTTGTGGGCTTCCAGGTGCTCACATCCCTGTGACGGACGACGTGTGAGCGGATGCCTTGTCGAGATGGCCATACAGCTTTCCTTTCCTGAGAAAACCCATTTTTGTTGTCTCACTTTTATGGGGTGGGCAGGACTACAAAGCTCTTCTCGGTCCTCTGTGTCACTTTCCACTGTGCCCTTGGGGCTCACCAGTACTGGAGTTCATCACGAGCTGACTGTCCTCATGGAGACGTTGACTCCTGCTGTCAACATCCCCTGCGGGGGTCAACTTACATTCTCCGCTATTTTGTTTTGTTCTCGGTAATACCTATGGTCTTCACCATTGACTAGGGATGGATCACGGCCACAGTAGGAGTTAGGCACACCTTGCCTCTAAAATGTATGGGAAAGGGGAAACTTTAACCTTGAGATGTCACTGAACATTTAACAATGTTCAGGGGCCGGCCCGGTGGCGCACTGCTACAGTGCACCGCTTGGGAAGCACGGTGGCGCTCCCGCCGAGGGTTCGGATCCCACATACAGACCGGTTCCCGCTCACTGGCTGAGCAAGGTGCGGGCGCGACACCGAGGATTGTGATCCTGTTGCCGGTCCTGGTCCGGTACGGGCGCGACACTGAGGGTTGCGATCCGTTGCCAGACACGAAAAAAGACAAAAAAAGGAANTCCGGTACGGGCGCGACACTGAGGGTTGCGATCCGTTGCCAGACACGGAAAAAAAAAAAAAAAAAACAATGTTCAGAAAATAATAGTTTACTTTTATGGTTTATGTAAACTTTGGGTCCCATGATTAAGGATACATACAAGCCTAAACAATTGGCTTTTTCTAATTTTTTTTGTTCTTTTGGCATGTTTCTTTTTCATATGGGGGAGATAGAAGAAATTTAGTGGCTTATGGGTAGCCCTTTAACACGGACTATCTATATATGCCAGAATCAGCCAGAGATTAGATATTGTTTAGGCAGAATCGACTTTCTGCAAAACTCTGGGGAAGCTGATTTCAGGGTGCTTCCACCCTCCCTTTGTTTGTTTCCCTCAAGCTTCTAGGACTTTCTTCCAGATGCCATGCTAGCCAGATTTCCCTCTACTACTCCTTATGGAAACCTATCTGTCCTGTGTCCTGTTACTGCGAGACCGTAGTAGGTTACTGCCTAAGACGATAGACTAATGAGAGTGTTAAATGTGGACTCTTGGGAGATTCTGAGGCTCTCACCTCTGACAGTCTCTTCTCAGGTGTACTAGACCCCTTAGGTTCCTTCTACCTTGCGTCTTTTAGGCCAGATCTGTAAATGTTTCATGAAACATTACATGTTTTAGCATAATTAAGGACACCCTGGAGGCTTGCTTTTTCAAGATGATCTCAGCCTTTTGGCCCAGTTGCCTTCCCTGGTCCATTCATTTATATCCCAGTTTCCACCAAACGTGGAACTCTATTCACCTTCCCAGGATTCAACTTGGCCAATGTCGCCACACTTAGGCAAAGTATTAGACCAAAGTCATGCTCCATTTATACTTTGTAGATTTCTAGCCCCAATCAATCTTCAAGCTTTGTCAGTAACAGAAACCTAAAGTAGTAATTTTCATGCTTTTTTAATTAGCTTTAAAACAATATTAGCATGCACCTGCAATGCATATATACCTGCATATAAATAATTTATTATTATTATTTATTATGTACTAGTGCATGAATATTTTGCATACATTAAAAAGATGTGCTACAGTAGAAAATTTAAGAGGATAGCATAAAAATAAATGTGAACACAAGTTCCATATTTTTCTGCAGCCCAATGGATTGTTTTGCACACCTCTTCTTGGAGACCAGTGATCAGGTCACATCTCACTGAAAGCCACATCTGAGCTAATGCATTCATATTTAACCTTGCAAAAACATGTTTTACTGGAAGAAATGGACCTTTGATGGGGGTCATGCATCCGTATGTATGGAAGGACTCCCCCGTACTTGGCTTCCAGCCCTTCCTTATTTTAAGAAAGAATATTTAATTCTAATTAACTTGTTCACCTCGAATTTCCAGGTCAGGAGATAAGTGGAAAATACAGATAT